GTGCTTAAATTAACTATCCAGGCTCCCCTTGAAGGGTGAAGGCCCCAACCTCCAGTGTGGCTCTAGATCCCATTTCCCTCCCTATTTGAGATCGCCTCAACAATTCTTCCCTCCTGGTCTTCACCATCTACCCTCCCTTTTATTGGAGAATAGAAGTATGTCAAAGGACAAAGGAGTCAGTATGAAAAAACTCCCCAAAGCCAAAGCTGGAACAAAGTGAGTAACAAATGACAAGTATAAAATAACTATAGACAAATATAAACAGAAACAAATCTTTCTTAAAGAATTCCAAATATGTGTAGACACTCATCCACAACAGGAGGTGGGCCTTTAATTCCCATAGTCCTACTTTGAGGATGGGCTACATTCAGTAAAATTTGGTTTAAAAAGACAAAAACATGTAATAAAAGAGAAATACCAACTACATCAGTGAAATCTAGGAAAATCCTACCTTAAACAAGTAACAAATGCGAACATTAGTGATGTCAAATGGATATCACGTACCCCTCAGAGAAGGGATGAAAAAAGGATACTCATAATCCTAGCCTGGTCACAAGGAAAACCACCATCAAATCCTGAACGGGGTGAGGAATAAGAGGATATTTGGCCAATACTCCTAAAGATTGTTTAAATCATCAAAACCAAGAAAAGGATCAAAAACCTGTCATAATCAGAGATTAGGAAGATATGACAACCAGTACAACCCAGTAGTTTCGATTGGTCCAGGAACAGGTTAAATTAAACAAAGGTAAAAATTCAAATAAAATCTAGAACGTAATTAATAGTAACATACTGATGTTTCTTTTTTTCTTGTTTTGACAAATGTATGGGAAAATGTGAGATGTTACTGATAGTGGAACTAGCTAGGGGTATAAAAGAACACTGAACAATCTTCAATCTTTGCAATTTTTCTATAAATCTAAAGTTATTCCAAAATAGTGTCTGTCTACCTACCTACAAATGACTGAAATTATACCAGCTCCACTAAATTACTACAATAAAAAACATCTCACCGAGGGCACCCATACATCAGTGGGTAGGGCAGCACACACATATACTGAGGCTGGCAGGTTCGAACCTAGTCCCGGCCAGCTAAACAATGACAACTGCAACAAAAAAATAGCCAGGCATTGTGGCGGGCATGTGTTGTCCCAGTTACTTGGGAGGCTGAGGCAAAAAAAATTGCTTAAGCCCAAGAGTTGGAGGTTGCTGTGAGCTGTGACGCCTCAGCACTCTACTGAGGACGTTATGTGAGACTGTCTCAAAAACAAACAAACAAAACCACCCCCCCCCCACCAACTCACCATTTGGCTTAATGATTTCACATTGTCTCAAAAGAGGTTATTTGCCTTTAATCAAACCTAATACTGAAAGTTACTTTCACACTTGGTGTGAGTCCCCATTTAGCTACTCCTGTGGCTTCTGGGGCAAATTTTTCATTTCCTTGTTCTTTAACCCTCCGTTTTTGTAAAATAGAGGATATACACTAACATATACCTATACAGGATTACAAGTATTAGATAATGTCTGTAAATTACTTGTTTTATAGATCTTGAATTGTTTTTTGATTAAAACTGACCATCTTATTTTTCAGAAACAAAATAATACAATTGCCAGATCAGGAAAACCGTGAGCATATTTCTATTAAGAAACATTTAGCACTGACATCAAAAATACAAGGCAGAGTAGATAAATTCTCTACCTTCTTACCAGCATCTACAATACTGGCTATGAACAACAGATAGCAAGAAGGGAAAATACAATGGCAAACAGCGCCCTAGCTTACCTTAGTAATTGTGCCTAGACATGGTATTATAGTTAGAACTTGCTCTAACTTGACCAGATACCATTCAATATTGTTTGGATGAATAGATTCCAAATGGAAACTTAAGAAAACTTAGCAGTTAAATGGATAGTTGTTGAGTGTCACAGAGTGACAGTTTAACAGTAAAGCAGTAAACACACCGTGATTCACTATTTTACCACAGCAGAATAATGTACATATAATGTTCTGGCAGATAGTATTCAACTAACTCAAGAGCTCTCCATTAAACAAAGTCATAAATAAAAATTTCGAGTCCCCAAGGCAGCAATGAGGGTGGGTTTGGAATGTTTTAAACCAAGAATTCATATATAAAAGGTAAATGAATACAAAGGGCTTAAAAATGAACAATCAAAAGTAACAAAACTGTAATTAGCTTAAAAATGAACATTAGATCAGAGCTTAGAAATCTCTAGTTTATTTCTAACAAACACCACTTGATGCTTGACTCACAGGCTTTATTTACATTTGTCTACAGTATCATTTCCTTATGAAATGAACTAGTACAGCTTAGTTAAACCAAATGAAATCATAATCATCTCAGTTGTCTGTGAACTACTATTAGCTAAATTTATAACCTTACATTTGCTTAGTACAGCCAAAGTTTTAAATACAGAAAGCACAAAAATAAACCAATGGTAACATGTAGAATCTAGAAGATCATCTGAGCAACTTAGAAGGTGGACTTTCAAAAAGTCTGAGGCACAATTACAAGAGAGGAAAAGTTCTTGTGCAACCTACAGTAAATGCAGCAAAGAAAATTAAGACATAAAAAACACAGGAAAGCCATTGTAAAAATATTATCAAAATATTTCTACATAAGATATCTTGCTTTCATTTTTAGATCAGTTGAAGAGAAAAACACTTTAAAATAAAAAACAAATATAATTTTGTTTGATCTGTCTACTAAATACCTTAAACAAATTTAAATTTTTATTTAAACTGTAGCAGACAATGTTCAGGGGAAAGAAAAAAAACAAGAAAAAAATCAATACCCCATAACAAAAGCCCACAAGCACAACTGTCGATTTCCTTTAATATACTTACCTTGTATTGTCACTGTAGATACTGTTAAGAGAAACCTTTTTTCATTTTTAAACCAGAAAACAAAATGGAGTTCAGTGACCAAATTTTAATCTTGAAAAATAAAACAAACTCTGAAAGCATTTTAAGCCATACGTTATTTCAAGTGAACAGGAAAAAAATAATGATTTTGCCTTATATTATGTAGAAATAAGCATTCATTTGTTATTTGGAAGAAAACTTTATGCGGTGTTTATAGTAAGTCATTGAGAGACAAATGTTCACTTAAATTCAGAATGTCTGTGGTGTCTTTTCATCTGAAAAGAAATATACTTCAAAAGCTTTCTTAAATTTTCTCATTAACTATGATTTAGCCTCTTCTACGCTATCATATTTCACAACTGGATTTTAAAGGGTATCACACAAAGCTTCTTAAAATACTGATATACATTTAAAAATAAGATGTTTCTCTTAACAGGAAACCCTATCAATATAGATGAAATGTTAGGCTTTCTTTCTTGCCCCAAATTATGTGTCAGAAAGGAAAATAACATTTTGTCCTTCAGCAATTCACAAGATTCTTTTGCATTAAATGTGGTGGTGCAAAAAAATAAAGCTGGATAAAAGGGAGACAATGATTCTAAGGCACCCTTAGCATAGGGAATTTAAAAATAAACAAGTTTCCAGTTAGCTGTTTAAACTGTT